CTTTGGGTTTTTGCTTTGCAAGCCTATGGTGTCTGGTAGGAGCAATGTCCCGTTATAAGTTAATTCCATTTAATCTCTTTTTATAATGTACATGTATATACTTTAAGTAGCCACTATAAAGAGAGTGGGGAATGGGAGGGTAGGCTAAAAGAGAGAGTATAGGGAGAGATAAAACACTAAAGACATTTAGAAAAAGCCATATGGAAAACTATCACTATAATTTTGAATTTTTGAGATAATTGATTTATTTTTGAAAATTTAAAAGTAAATAAATCTTTGCTTAAAGTGACTTTGACAATGAGAACAACCAGAACCTCACACTACTTGGTTTTAAAAGCTGGGCAAAGGATTTCCTTGCATGGATGTATATGCTTCTACGAAGGGGTATACCAATGGTTAGTGAGTGCATGAAAGGTGCTCAGCCCCACTTGTCATCAGAGAGATAATCAAAGCCACAATAAGATACACCCATCAGGATGGCACTTACAGAAAATAAACACTAACTTGCTGAGGGTGTGGAGAAATTAGGATCCTTGTGCACCCCTGGAAGGAACTTAAAACAGCACAGCAAACTATGGTAATAGAGAACAATAGGAAGTTCCTCAAAAACTAAACGTGGTTTCCATATAATCAAACAATTCCACTTCTGAGACTCTCTGGAGGAACCAAAAGCAGGGACTTGAAGAGATACTTGTGCACAAAGTTCAAGGCAACAGTATTCACAAAAGCCAAAAGGTTGAGGCAGCCTGAGTGCCCCTGATGATGAGTGGTTTACATATACTAGACTCTTCATCAGCCTTAAAAAGGAATCAGATTGTGGCACACTGAACAGTGAAGATGAACCATGAGGATGTATACCAAGTGAAGCAAGCTGGTCACACAGGACACGGGCCATATGACTCCACTAATGTACAATACCTAGTATGCTCAAATTCGTAGGGGTGGGAATAGAGCAAGAGTTTCTAGGGGCTGAGAGAAAGGTAAGTGGGCAGTTGCTTAGTGGTGTGGAGTTTCTGACTGGGGAAGATGAAACTGTTCTGATACTAGTGGAAATGGTTGTACAACAGTTTAAATGCATTTAACTTCGTGAGCTACTTGGTTGAAATGGTAAGTTTTCTTGTTATTTATATTTTACTATAATATTTTAAGAGCAAGACTAAGCCAGGTATGGTGACACATACCTTTATTCTCAGCAATTGGGAGGCAGTGGCAGGTGGAGCTCTGTGCATTCGAGGCCAGCCTTGTCTACATAGTGAGTTCCAGGCCAGCCAGGCAAAAAACAAAACAGAAACAGCAACAAAAATGAAAGTCAGACTGATTAAGAATCAAGCAGAAAATCCCAAACAAAGGGAGAGGGATTTGAATTGGCTTATTTGTGGTGGGGCTGATCTTAGAATCTGTTTCTTTTCCTATCTGAGTATGTGATCTAGAAGAAGTCAGTGAGACACAAATGCAATTTGCAGCTGACCCAGCCTTGAGAGGCGAGGCACATATGATCAAGACTGAGAAATAACTGTAATCTGACTCAGAGATGCTAGAAATATTGCATTGCAATAATTTTGGGAAAGAGAGAGGGAGTACATGTCTGACCAAAGCACACGACATTTAGCTTGTCCACACTGATTGGAGCTAGCTGAGGAGTGTAGAAAGAAGACTTAAGTGTTTTTACAGAAGTCTTGAGCTCACATTCTAATTTTGTCTCCCAGGGGCTGTGTGAACTTTAAAAGTAGGATAATAAAACCTTCTGAAACAGTTGCTGGGGGAATGAGCTGCTCTCTGAAGAGCCATGTGGATGTCACATTGTGACCCAAGTGATGATGGCCAAGTGGCATTTATGAGAAACATGTTAATGCTGTGCAAAGAACAGCAAACTTAGAAACTGGCAGACCAGAGCTCTTCCTTCTACTCAACCTTGGGCAAGTTTGTCTCATGGAGATACCTAGTTAATAATATATTTATCTATGCCATAGAATTTGCATGACTTAAATAAAATAGTGTATATAGAAGAGAACTTCAGTGACGACTACTTTTCCTCCCCCTTCCCAGCCACTTCAGAAAGGAGTCTGGGATAAATACATAGAACAAAATACAGATCAGCGTGGCACTGTTTTCCTATGGAGCTAGGAAAATGGCAGATAGAAAGTGGTTGTAACTGAAAGTTCTAGAGCGGGAAGAGTTCTTATGATTCTCTGAAAGCTCAAGGCTGATTGATTCTTGTGGAAGGACCGTGAATGGAAAAGATGCTTTCCCAACACTGTACAAAGAATGCAGGTAAGTTGGGGAATTCTGGACAGGACAGAGTGGCTGGCAATTAACAGCAATTTAGTTTTCCAGTACGGCCATCACTCAGTATCACAAACTAATGCCTAAAATAACACAATTTTATCTCCCAGTTTCTACAGGTCAGAAATCTAGCATGACTCTCTTTAGCCTAAAGCTGAGGCATCAGAAAGGCTATGTTCCCTACTAGAAGTTCTGAAGAATTTAAGAGCTATCTAGGTTATTGGCAAAAACTGGCCATTTGAACTTAGGTATTCTGAGCCCAAAGCATATGTCCCTGTAAAGACTGTATGGTCGGTCTGGATGCCATGGTGAGAGGCGTGAGCCTTTTTATATGAACAATGATCCATGTAATCACGTAGGGAAGAAAAGATATAAACTACACATGCTCTGTGGCAGACTAAAAGCGTGGGTTAAAAGTTTTTATAGGTCACAAGAGGAAGATTAAGCATTTAGTAAGACATTCTTTGGTACAATAAATTTATTCTTAGAGGGCATCCTGTTGGGAGCAGCCTGTAGGTCCTCCTGATCCCAGGTGCTTCTGTGTCTTTTTCCTTTCACTCCCTACCTTCCCACTCAGGTTTTAGGACCCCCGCAGCTGGACTGTGGCAGCATCCAGTGTAGTCTGCCCAGGCACAGTGTGGAACTATGATCATACAATACACAGAAATACAGTTTTTAGACAGGATTCTGGCATGTCTCTGGAGGACGGGTTGGAACCTGAGGTTCGATATTACTCTATCATCTCCATGAGTGATCTTGGGGCACAAAATAGTCAAGGTTTTAATGAAATTCCATTAAGATAGCATAATGTTGCAGTTAACAGTCACCAAAGATAACAGAAGAAATTTTGGCAGGAAATACTTCCTATTAAACTTTGGGAGAAAAGAACAAGGAATGTAAAAGATTGATAATCATGAAGATAAGGAGGTCTGGACATAACCACTATCATTAAAGAGTCCTAAACAGACAGAAACGGCAAAAGCAAACCACAGTGAACATAAAATGTGGGAGGTGTCAAGAGCACCATTTGCCAGATGTGAAAATTTCCAGATATCCTTAATTTCTGTGCTTGGGATACAGAGAAAGGAAAGACTGGAAGTACACTTGGTGCCTTCCTGGGTTAGTGGAAAGCGGAGAGTAGTTCTGAGAGACACTGAGGCTGAGCTGCACAGGAAAGGGTTGGGGGACAGGGTTAAAGGATGAAATGCATGTCCAAGAGAGCAGCTGAAACTCCTCTCCGCTTGCTGAGCCCCCCTCCCCACTGAGCTGGGTCGTGTTGGGCTGCCTAACGAGCAGTGTAATCCCCTCTCATCCCATGGTTCTCTGAGGACTCTCTCAGAATCTCCTGTATCTTCAAGACAGTATTGCATGTTTCATGTTGAGGTTCGTAACTCTGAGGGTCATGTGTGTACTGTCTTCAGCAATAGGTTCTTACTATCAAGTTCTGGTGGGTAACCAAGAGCAGGAGCAATGGTCAGTATTGTTTGAGGGTCTATGAGACCCCTGATCAACAGCTTCTAGAAAAGGATTCCATTCCTGGCATTGAGTTTTTGTTGTTTGCTTTTTCTGCTGTTGTTGTTAGCTTATGATCTAGTAGGGGCAATGTTCCCCTGTTATAGGGTAACTCCTTTTAATCCCTTTTATAATGTATATGTATATACTTTTTGAAGCTTCTATAGTGTTCAGTTTCCACAGCTTTCTCTAAATGCCTCTAGTGTTACTTATCCCCCCTGTGCTCCCTCCTCTGTCCTGCCCTCCCATTCCTCACCCCATTTAACCCTGCTACTCTATCATTCCCCTTACCCCCTTTATAACGCTGCATTCTACCATGACTCCAGGGAAACTTCCCCCACCCGCGACCCATGGCCAGTTTTTAGTTTCTTGACCTCTCTGGATTTTTCAAATTGAAACATGCGTATCTAAGACTTTAAAGCTAGCACCCAGTTATGAGAGAGAACAGGAAACATTTGTCTGTCTGGGTCTGGGTGACCTCACTCAGGATGAAAGCTTCCAGTTCCATCCATTTACTTGTGAATTTCATAGTATCATTTTATTTTTTTAAGAGCTGAATAATATTCCACTGTCTTTGTGTACCGCACCTTCATTATCTATTTACCAGTTGATGGACATTTAGGATGTTTCCAATTTTGGGCTATTATGAAAAGGGCAGCAGTGAACATGGATGAGTAGGTATAAAATACAAATCTTAAAATGGGAGATTATTTTGGATTCACTGGGTGGGCCTGATGGGAAGATGATCAAGCACACCATGAACTAAGAACATAGCACAGAGCATTATTTTATCTTTATCTTTAGCTTAAAACGAATTTAACTTTATGAATATATGCATGAGAAAACATCTGGAAGACATATTTCAAAATGACAACAAAGTTATTTTAGAGGGGCTATGATAATAATGTTTTTTTGGCTTGTATTTATCCTCTAACTTTTCTACCATGGTCATAGTTTACTTACATGTTTTAAATCTTTAAATCCAAGAAGTGAATAGGAGAAAGCAGCCAGTAAAGAGAGGAGGGGGGTGGTATCTTGACCAGGAAGCATATTTTAAAATTGTCTACATATTTATGTATTTATTTGCAGAGGGAACACTAGATACTGTTAACAACCTGAGAGGTTGGGTCTGAAGGAGCTGAGGAAAATGAACTTGGAAAGAAAAAGGAAGAAAAAGGAAGCAGGATCTGCAGGGCAAAGGCTAAGTCGGGGAAGGCACCCCCATAAACTCTGGGAAAGGAACAAGTAAAGTCCAGGAAGAATCAGGAGGTTTTTCATGGGACGGGGGAAGTAAGTCAACAACCCTGGCCTTCCAGGAAGGGAGATCTGGGTGATGGGGACCAGTACGGCTTGGTGTCTTGAGAAAAGGGGAATGAGATGGAAAATGTGTACTGTGAAATGTGATGGGGAGTCCACCTGATTTAGCAAGGATTTCTGGGTGGCACTGAGGGCCCTGCTGAGATTGGAGAAGGGGGATTTAGTAGCCAATATGATCACAGTTATTGAACGACTTTTCCAAGTAACTCTGTATAGCTTGAGGATGAAGAGCAAAGGCAGTATGGGGAGATGGCTAAGCAGGTAAAACGCTTGCCATGCAAGCATGAGGCCTTGAGTTCAGATCCCCAGCACCTACATTAAAGCCAGAAACAGTAGTAGGTATCTGTAATTCCAGCACTATGACAAGATGGGAGACAGAGACAGAAGCTTGTGGGCCAGCTGGCAGTAAGCAAGAGATGCCAATGAGGTGGAAGGGAAGGACTGTCACCCAAGCCTGTCCCACAATGACTGCACTCACAAATGAACATATGCATTAGAGAGAGAGAGAGAGAGAGAGAGAGAGAGAGAATGGAAGGCAGCAGAGGAAAACTAGTGTGCCATGCTTTCCATTCTGGGCTGGAAGCTCACATTGGACCTCTGTGGTGCCATCTGGCCCTTATATCATGTCAGCTCCCTGAACACTAATTAGGCCCTGTGCTAGATAACTTTAATTGTCAATGTGACACACCTGGGTAGAGGAAGCCTCAATTTGGGAATTGCCTCCATTGGACTGGCCTGTGGCCATGTCTGTGGGGCATTTTCTTGATTATTGAGTGATGTGGGAGGGCCCAGCCCACTGTGGGTGGTGCCACTCCTGGGCTGTATTGTATACAAAAGCAGTTTGAACACTGGCCAGGGGAGCAAGCCAGTAAAGTGTTCCTCCATGGCCTATACTTCACTCCTTCCTCCAGGTTCCTGCCGTAAGTTCCTACCTTGAGCATCCTGATGAACTGTGATGCAGGAGAGGTAAATCAAATAAATCCTCTCCTCCTCAAGTTGGTCAGAGTGTTTTATCACAGCAATTGAAGACAAACTAGAACAGGTCCTCTGAGCGGTAAAAATCACTCCTGCTCAATTATTCAGAACTTAACAAACATCAAAGGGCTCAGATCCTGGATGAATGCAGTGAAGGCCAGTCACAGACATGCGAAGGCTAATGTCAAAAGAAAGGATATAGTAGTTTGTATATCACTTGTGAGGTGGAAGGAGGAGGATTAGGAATTCTAGGTTATTCTCAGGTACCATAGTAAATTCGAAGCCAGCCTAGGTTAAATGGAACCCTCTCTCAAAACAGACAGACAGAAAGGAAGGAAGGAAGGGAGAGAGGGAGGGAGGGAGGGAGGGAAGGAAGGAAGGAAGGAAGGAAGGAAGGAAGGAAGGAAGGAAGGACGGAAGGGAAGAAAGAAAAGGGTTATTTATCATGTACTATGGACCAGGCATTTCTTATACTTTAAACTTCTCTTTAGTCTACAAGGTAGCCACAACTGATCAATGGGGCAAATGATAGAGAGACTGAAGAACCTTTTCAGAATCACCTAGAAGGTGAGAGGGAGAACTGGCATTCAGCCCAGGTGTTTGTCTCTTCTCCATTTTAGAATTCAGCTTTGGAAGTCTGCAAATGAATATCCATACAAAATGCTTTGGAATGCTATGCTTCAATGAAACATAGAAGAAAGAAGGGATGGACAAGAGAATGATCACTTAGGCTCCTTACAGGTGTGATACTGCAGGGTATAGTGACAAGGAGTGCAAAGGGAGGCGACGGCACAGAGCTGGGGAAGCCAGATCTTTAAGGACTTCATATGCCAGCCACACAAAGTTCTATGCTTTGTAAGTCTTATTTAAATGGTTTATACCATTACTACTCTTTCTCTTTTGCTCCTTTAATATTTAGTTGTTCTGAAAATTCCAGTCTAGCTACCAAGTCTATGAAAGGGATCTGCTGCCATTTTAGGAGGAATATGAAAAGATCTTTAAAGAAAAATGAAAAACAGTATTCAGTAAAGCAGCACTCCTTCACCAGGTAGCATGGACTTTAGGCAATAAGGTTTCAGGAGGTTTGTGATGCTAATTTATCAAAGTGTAATTCTAAAGTCAACTAGAGGCTCTTTGGCCCACAAGATCCCAATAAATTCAACTCATCTCTAATTTCATAGCCTGGAGGAGCCTTATCCACTACTCACTAATATTTACTTTCTAAAGACAGAACCTTAGGTCCATTTGCCTCCAGATTTTGTTTTCTTTCTGGGCTACAGCAAGGATAACTCAACCAGGTGTGAGTGTCAACATCCAGAAGAATTCACTGGTTCACAATAGTACAATGGAGCAATGAAGATTTCACTGAAGATTTTGTGGAGGTTAGAGGAAATATTTAGAGTAGTCAGGCCAAAGTGTACTTTCAGATTCCAAATTGCTCCTTCACACAGCATTCAACCTAAGGCACCTTTCTTTGACTCCTGTACTACTCATATTAGAACTTTTAAGTTCTATTTATTACTGAAAAGCATTCTTGTTGCCCAGCCCAGGAACAGCCCTGGTCTGAAAGTCAGGAATCAAGATAAACCTCATGCTCAAATCAATTATAAAAGTGTTATGACCCTACTTCCCACAGACTTGAGGCTGAAATATGTTTGGTTTTTTTTTTCTGGTCTTTTTGAGACAGGGTCTCCCTGTAGCCCCAGCTGTCCTGGAACTCACTATGTAGACCAGGCTGGCCTTGAACTCACAGAGATCTGCCTGCCTCTGCCTCCCGAGTCCTGGGATTAAAGGTGTGTGCCACCACACCTAGTCTGAAATATGTTTTTTATTAGGAGAGTTCTAGTGCAGTTTTCTCCATCTGATTATAAAAGGGTTAATATAAAGCCTCTTTAAACCTAAGAGAATAAAATCATACCAGGGTTATAGCAGATGAGTGTGTCTTGAAAAATAAAGTTATTCTCATAAATCCTTGGGGAGAAATTTGTCTCAAAACCAAACTTGGGTGGGAAGGAGAGGAAATCGTTTTGTGGTATTGTCAATAGAAAGGGTCAAAATGTTTAAGAGAATGTTTTAGGTAGAGGGCATGGCAACAGGACAGGAGCAAGGACTCCAGGAAGTGATGCCTGCTCTCTGGATAGACTGTAGCCACTCATGGCTTCCATGTGAAATGGCAAGAGGTAAAATTCCAGCAAACAATTCATCCCAGGAGGAATAAAAGTCCTAAGGCTTAGAAATTGAATCATTTAAATGATTTGTGCTGTGTCCTTTGAGTTTTGCCTAATGTTCACTTGTTTTGAAAGCTCTACTCTTATCTCAGCCGAGGAATCTGAGGAAGTGACTGACGCCTGTGTTAGGAAGAAATGGAAGGATGTTAGGAGACAGGAAGATGTTGCATAGTAGCAACCTTATCACCTAGAGTAGCAGGGAGAAATTGTAGAGTAGACATAGTGAAAAAATAATTGAGAAAATCAAAGAAGAGGGAGATACTCAGACCCCAGAGAGAAGAAAGGTTTTGAGGTCCAGTTTCCATTCTCTACCTCAGGTACTACTCTATAGGTCAACTTTTGGGGGCTATGAGTTTTCTTTTATTGGGAAAAGTTAGTAGTAAATTTTTTCATCAAAAAACATAGTTGCCAGGCATGGTGGCACACACCTTTAATCCCAGCACTTGGGAAGCAGAGGCAGGCAGATCTTTGTGAGTTTGAGGCCAGCCTGGTCTACATAGTGAGTTGCAGAACACTTGGGGCTACAAGGAAACCCTGTCTCAAAAAGACCAAAAAAAAAAAAAAAAAAAAAAAAAAAAAAAACCAACAACACAGTTGTTATAAATGGAGGAAGGTTTTCTCCTGCTCATGGCCTTAGGTAAGGCAGTTCTTTATGTTAGCAAGAAACCCAAAACCTGTATGTTTCACTTCTAACCTCTACCAAGTTCCTCCTCCATTAGGCTCTGCTTGAACAAAGGATAGGGATATTGAGATGTATCCTAGGCTTAAGAGCAGTTTTTCTAGTTGAATTGCGACTAGTGATCAAGGTCCGGCCATCCCCTTTGGCCTCTCCCTCATTCATGTAGAGGCTCTAAATTTCTTCCTGAGGATTCTAGAGATGGAAAGCCCTCAATTTGAAGATCACAACTCTAGACAGCCACCCTAAAACCTCCCCTACCTCATGAGCCTGAAGACAGCATTTCCAATATATTGTTTGGTGGTTAGACCAGAGGCTCAGAGGAAAGTCATAAGGGATTTGAGTTGCTTGGAGTTTAGGGAAGTGTTTAAATGACTTTAAGATACTTGGAAGAGCATTTGGCATTTTATTGTTCTGTAAGGTGGTTGAAGTATGCTATTTTATCCCTAAGTCCCTGGGTAAGGTTCATCCTCTTCTTCCTTTTCTCCAGCAGATCACCATGCAGATGGCAGAATTCACTAGGGATTTGTATTAGTTACTTTATGTTGCTGTGATAGAAACACTGACCAAAGCAACTTATAAAAGGAAGAGTTTGAACTTACGGTTCCAGGGGAATTACAGTCCACCATGGCAGGGAGGCATGGTGGCCGGAGGTGGCTGGAGCAGAAGTGGAAGGTAAGCTCTCTACATCTTCAAGCAGGCAACTCGAGATCTGGCAACTCTCTAAGCCCACCTCCAGTGATGTGCTTCCTCCAGCATAGCCACACTTTCTAAGGCCTCCCAAAACAGCTCTACCAACTGGGGGCAAAACATCCAAATGCTTGGAGCCTCTGGGGGACATTTTCATTCAAACAACCAAGCTTTCTGTGGGAATCTTCTAGGTTGGAGGTTTAATGACCTCTTACTATCAAAAACCTCGTTTAATATCTTGGTCATCTGGTGTCCTTTCCTTTGAGTAGAGCATGGAGTCGGGTTGCTGGATGTAGACAGGCAGAAGCTGGACAATGTCCTTTGCACCTCTGTAGTTCCTCAGCCATGTAGGCCTTGTTCTCACTCTGGATCAGAGCATGGGATACATGGGAGACAGATGTAATAAGGCTAGCCCTCTGGAGTTTTTCTGGCCCTAGGAATAATTCTTGGAGATGGGAGATTAAATAATAAAAGTTAATTTTGAATCTTGTACCCAAATATTGGAGGAATCTTGAAGAAATAAAAAGTTGGGAAGAACTGTTAATTTGGGCAACATGGCAGGACAGAGTTCAACTCACAGGTAGGTATTCAAACTGGTTTCCCACAAGGAAGTAGGAGGCCAATTAATCTCTACTAGACAAGGCAGTTTGCATATCTATCACCTACAGTTTACAAAGAACTGCAAAATAGCTGAAAAGATGAATATAACATAAATAGACCCATTAAACTTCAGCCAGTTTGGGTCATGGTAAAGTCCCCTTTCAAGAACTTTCTATAACTTTGAATAGTCATTATGAATCTTTTATAGCACAGGTAATCAAAGTGGCAAAACACCCTACATTTATTAAGGAAATATGTAGGTGTACACACAAATATACAAAGCAGTAAAATGTGATGCCTCATACCTGTACCCTCACAATTGGGAGGCTGAGTCAGGAGGATTATGAGTTCCTGGCCAGTATCTGGGGCAAATAGTGAATACAATACAGTCTCAAAGTCAACAACAAATGACTGGGAATGTGGCTCAGTGGGAGAGTGCTTTCTTAGCTTCAGTTCAATCCCAGTACCAAGGGAAAAAAGTGGGCATGTGTACTTTAAACTATACTTAGTAATATCCTTTCAGCATTCTAACTTCCTATAAATTACCTAGGTATCTAATAAATATCCATTCACTTTATTTAGAGTTAGCACAAGTCTGTAAGTTATCTGAGGATTTTTAGAAATTATCTTTTTAAGGAAGTTTTAGGGTGTGACTGTGTGTGTGGTGTATGCATGTGTGTACACATGTAAGTGTACTTTTCAATGAAAATTGTGTGTGTGTGAGAGAGGGAGAGAGAGAGAGAGAGAGAGAGAGAGAGAGAGAGAAGCCTGGTATGTGCATGCCACCACGAGAGAGAGAGAACTCTATAATAACCAGTACAATGGAATTTTAATGTCTGATGTTTTTAAGAGGAGGTTGAAGGGCTCCATACGCAAACTCTTAAGAGATCACAGTTAGTTTAAATGGTGTTGATGTTGGGAAGGACAGAGAGAAAGGTTGTTGCTTTTGGTTGAGGGATAAAGCAGTTTTCTCACCTCCTCAGGAAAGCCAGGTCAGTGCTAACATCAGAGCATGTTAGGATGCATTCACAGTGGGCCAGAGCTTGGCAGACATGACCATATTTAATTATCACATCCACCCTATTTTCTTCCCAATTTACCTATGAGAAAACAATCATAGAGTGATTTCCAATGTCACATGGCTGGTAAATGTCAGTGGTAAGATTTAAAACCAACAGAATCCAAAGACTACTCTTTATTGATACATTAAGTCATCTCCAGACAAAAAAACACAGAGGAGCACTGTAATAATGACCAGCTATGATTCACACTTCCCTGTGCTCATCACTCTTTGCAATGTGTCATTATTGACTTCATCAAGACACAGTCAGTTGCTCCACCTTCTTGAAATGGCATGCTCCTGTAACTTACTTTGACTAATAGAATACAGCTAAAGTGACACAGTAAGTTTTAGAGCCTGGACCTTTTAAAGCTTTTACTCTTAATTCTCTGGTGTGGTAAAACCACAATATTATGAAGAGCCACAGTCTGTTCTAGAAGATGACAGGTCACGTGGAACAGGACTGAGGATTTCACGTCAACAGTCAGCAGCAACTACCACTTGAATAAAGTAATCTTGGATATTTTGACTTCAACTGAGTCCCTCTGCCTATAGCTGCCCCTGTGATCCCAGGTGAAACCGGGCAAAGTCCAGTTGTTCCATGCAGTGGTATGATGCCACATGATGGTGATGCCCAAACAAAAATAGCCTGACTCTTAGCAGCCATGAAAACCAAGCTGCCCCTGTGAGTCCAGGTGAAACAGGGCAAAGCTCCAGTTGTTCCATGCGAGGGACTTGTTTCCTTAGAGTTCTCCCAGAACTCTGCTCCTGAGCAAAGGCCTTGCTCTCTATTTATTGAAATAGTCCATCCAGCATGAAATGGGGAAGGAAAAAGTGGAAGGATTTGTCTTATCAGGGTATTTTCTCTTTCTGACCCCTACTGACCTAGAACAGCTCATGGTTCATGCACACACACACACACACACACACACACACACACACACACAGATGTTATTAATTTAATCATACCTGTTGTTTAAAAATGGAGGGCTGGAGAGATGGCTCAACAGTTAAGAACACTGACTGTTCTTGCAGAAGACCTGGTTCGAATCCCAGCACCCACACGGCAGCTAACAACTTTTCATAACTCCAGTCTCAGGGGTTCTAACAGCCTCTTCTGTCCTCTGCAGGCATTGCACAACATGGGTGCACTTGCCTACATGCAGGCAATGCATGCATACACCTAAAATAAAAATAATAAATAAAATAGAAAATAAGTGGGATAAGTCATTGCTTCCAATAAATTTGTTACTTTCAACACTTTCTGTGTTCACAACACACGCACACACACCTTGATATATTCTGGGTCAAGGGCAAGGAAGGGTCATGAGGGATTAAAACTGTTATATTTAGGTTACAAGAGGAGCCCAAGGCCTAGTAAGTTTGTTTACATTGCAAACAAGTGGAGATAATGTCTCAGAAAAGTTAGTCACACAATTCCATAGAGTCAAAAAAAAAAGCCATTGTTGTTATAAGCCACTACATTTTGGAATGCATTTTAATCCATTATCTATCACAAATTATCTGCTTTTAAAGCAATTTATGGTAGCATGCTATGCAGAATTAGAGGATTATAAGCTGGAGGAATTTAAGGGGAGCATTTAATTAGACTCATATTTTATAGAAGTAAAAACTGAGAACTAGAAAAGAGAAATGGCTTGTCTGAATTCAGGGTTTCTTATAACCTAAGCCAGGGATAAACTCAAATCTTCAGAGTTCTATTTCTGGAATTCTCTTTCCCATATTGTCCTAAGTATAAACAGGGACTTAACACAGAAGACAGTGTTATTTCTAGATCATCCTAAGGAAAAATGCAGAAAGCTGTTTATGGCCTTAACTTCTGATGACATCCATACAAAGAGATTCATATGCCAATGACCCATGAAATTCCAGGAAGCATTTACTGGAAACTGGGCAACAAGCTATCATAATTGAGCATGCTTTATAATACAGGATTTGTGCATTTGTGGATATGCCATCTCCTCAGAAGATCATTTATTATTTTCTTGACTGCTCACTGAGTAGTCTGGAGAGTATGAAAGAACATCTGAGGTGTGGTCCAGGCACCAGGAGTTTAAAAACCTGCCTTCAGTGAATCTAATGTACACCTGGGGTTGAGACCCCTCCTCTGGGTCATGAGTTTCTGGAAGGCAATATATTCATTTTCGCACCTCCTGGAGTACCAGGCAGCAGGGTGATTATTGATTGAAACTGAAAGCAGCCAGAAAAGACCAGAAAGTGCTTGGGCTTTGACATTAAAAAAAAAAAAAAAAAAGAGTGCACGCGCAAACACGCACAGACACACCTGCGCACCTTTTAGTCTTGTCAATTATCAGCAGTTAGTGTAACCTTGCACAGAATAGTCTCACTGAACAATTTATAAAATGAATGTAAAGAGATGTGAGGAAGCTCAGCTAAGATTATTTATCATTTAAACAGATCCCTACACAGATAGACCTAAGAGTATTTGAGGAACAAAACTTAAACTTGGTAGACCTTAAAAATAATAGAGGGGGGATGGAGAGATGGCTCAGCAGTTAAGAGCACTGGCTGCTCATGCAGAGGACCCAGGTTTGATTCCCAGTATCCAGTTACCATTAGTAGCTCTGGATTCCAGGGGAATTTAATGCTCTGTTCTGACCTCTGCAGGCATTGCATGACACAGGTGCACTCACACATGCAGGCAATATACTCATATACATAAAATTAAAAAATAAATAAAAAAAAATAGAGGACGTGAGTGGGGAGACTTAGGGAGGTGGGGTGGTTCTGAGAGGAGATGGGGAGAGGGTCAGAGGATGATGAAAACACATTGCCTCAAGTTCTCAAAAAAATCAATAAAAATTTTTTTCCCAAAAGATCCTTACTCAAGCCAGGCATGGCAGCTCACTTCTTTAATCCCTGTACTCAGGAGGCTTAGGAAGGCATATTTATGTGAGACTGAGGTCAGTCTGGTCTATATGGCAAATTCCAGGCCAGTTGGGGCTACAGGGAGATCCTGTCTCAAAACAAAACAAAAGATCCTTGCTAACAGTAAAGAGCTTGGTATTTCTATTTCTATTCAGAGTGGAAATACAGTAGTTTTTTGAAAACGGAAAAAAGTAATTAAAGATGATTATAAGAATTTTAGCAATACAAGGTTGTAAAGGGGAATCAAGTTCAAACTACCTCCAATTCCTTTATACATATGTCTAAGCATTTTGCTGTTTCTGCTTCCAGAAGTTGGCTTTGTTGGCTCTATTTGTATCTGTCCATTCATAA